CTCTTGTGGGACACTCTTGTGTGACACTCTTGTAGGAAACTCTTGTGTGGGACACTCTTGTACTAGGGCACTCTTATGGGACACTCTTGTGGGTCACTCTTGTGGGACACTCTTGTAGGACACTCATATAGGACACTCTTGTGGGACACTCTTGTGGGACACTCTTGTAGGACACTCTTGTGGGACACTCTTGTGGGACACTCTTGTGGGACACTCTTGTGGACACTCTTGTGGGACACTCTTGTGGGACACTTTTGTGGGACACTCTTATAGGACACTCTTGTGGGACACTCTTCTGGGACACTCTTGTAGGACCACTCTTGTGGGACACTCTTGTGGGACACTCTTGTAGGACACTCTTGTAGGACACTCTTGTGGGACACTCTTCTGGGACACTCTTGTAGGTCACTCTTGTGGGACACTCTTGTGGGACACTCTTGTAGGACACTCTTGTAGGACACTCTTGTGGGACACTCTTGTAGGAAACTCTTGTGGGATACTCTTGTAGGGCACTCTTAAGGGACACTCTTGTGAGACACTCTTGTGGGAAACTCTTGTGGGTCACTTGCAGGACACTCTTGTGGGACACTCTTGCGGGACACTCTTGTAGGACACTCTTGTAGGACACTCTTGTGGGACACTCTTGTGGGACACTCTTGCAGGAAACTCTTTGGGACACTCTTGTAGGACACTCTTGTGGGACACTCTCATAGGACACTCTTGTGGGACACTCTTCTGGGACACTCTTGTAGGACACTCTTGTGGGACACTCGTTTCGTACGAGACCTCCTCCAAAAGTCACGTGTCAAGTCTCCAAAACGAGCGTTTCGTACGAGACTTCCTCCAGAACTCACATATGTCAAAGTCTGCAAAACGAGCATTTCGTACGAGACTTCCTCCAAAAGCCAAGCGGAAACACCCATCGGAGCACACACATCACGCAGCCCTGCCAAGCAGTTTCGCGAGTCCAGCCCCTCCAAACAATACCCGCTCACACGCCAATCCCAATGTGACTCCGACATTCACCTCTACCACAACTCACGACCTCACGATTCCCTGCGCCTGCCACGAATCTTTCCGCATCCACACGTCTAACGCGCACAAAGTACTGCGCCTGCCACGAAATGTCACCTCCTCGCAACCTCACGATTTCCTGCGCCCGCCACGAAAATCGCACTTCCACCCCTCAAAATCCGCACAAAGTACTGCGCCTGCCACGAAAAGTGACAATATCATCTCACGTGAGCTTCAACAAAATTTGCACCACAGCACACTCCCATCCACCAAAATCGCCATTTCAGCTGAGACGAAAACAGAGCTTCGATGCCACACCCTGAAACGCAAATCCCAATGGCACGGCCACATCCAACACCCCAAAAACACGCCTCTCCTAACGCTAATCCCAATGGAACTGCGCAGCATGTCATTTTCAAGCAAATCACAATGTAATAGCGGCGCAAATTGACACGTGACACATCCATGAAAAGTCACTTGCAAAAGCTTCCCCCAATGGCAGCGCCTTAGCGCTCTACTGACGACGGTTGCGAACGGTTGCGGACGGTTGCGAACATAGAAACAACGGGTCGCGAA